AATGCCCAAGAACAGATGACTGGTTAAAGAAACTTTGGTACATCTACACAATGGAGTACTATGTAGCTCTTAGAAAAGATGAAGTCATGAAATTTACATACAAGTGGTACAATATGGAAAGTATCATGCTAAGCGAAATGAGTCAGAAAGAGAGGGATAGACATAGAAAGATTGCATTCATCTGGGGGATATAAAGTAACAAAGTATGAGATTAATACCCAAGAATAGCTGAGATCAGCACCAGGAGGATTACTCCATAACTTAGAGGCCAGCCGGGTATCCTACAGGAAAGGGCTATTCAGATAGAGAAGGGAGCACCAAATAAAGGATGTTTGGAGGATCCTCCCAGGAGGGGAGATGCATGTCGAAAGTAGACTATGGACTGAACATGTTTGCCACTCAATGCCTCTTTTGCAGACCACAACACCCAAAAGGAGAGAGAGAACACAGGGGATTGCCCTGCCACAGAGACGGGGGGATGGGGGGATGGGGGTGGGAGGGATATTATCCATGGTGGTGGAAAATGGGCACTGGTGGAGGGATGGGTATCTGATCATTGTATAATTGAAACCAAAGCACAAAAAATTGTAAATCTACAACTTTAAAAAAAATAAAATAAAATAAAGGGGGAAAAAAAAAAAAAAAGAAAAAAAAAAAAAACCACCTCCGGCTCAGCTATACAAGCTCATTTATTGGCCTTATTTCAGAGACCCATAGGTAAATCTTGAAAGAGATCAAAAGCTGCAGTTAGGGCTGGTGGCGAGGTGCAATGTGGGCAAGTGGGAGCCCTCCTGCAGGGCATATGCCAGAGTTTATTTCTCTGGAAAAGATAGAAACAAAGGCCAACAGACAACGGCACACAAAAGAATCTCCAAATCAAGCAGCTCGCTGCAGAGATGCCTCCGGACTTTAAGCCAGGTTGACTTCATGGGGGGGGGGAGGGGTTGCCTCAGACAGGGGCGGGCATCATCTCTCCACCTGCCCCCTAAAAATCCCTGCGGCTGCCAACTTCCAACTTCCACAAGAAGTGCAGGTACACAGGCTCAGTGGCCACAAACTCCAAGTCTCAAGGGATAGGGGATGGGCTGGTCCCTCTCATCCCCTCATCCCCATGGGACCCTGGACATCAAGCTCACAAACTGTCTCTGGCTGCTCTTAAGCTCCTTAACAGCCTTGATCCAGAAACACACAAAGGAATCTCTGAAACGAGCAGCTCACTGCAGAGATTTCTCCAGACCCTAAAACGCTAAAAAAGAAAAGCTAAAAGGCCCTACCGCTGATCATCGATTTGCTCGAGCGGGCCCAGTAACGTCTCCATTGGAGACTTTGTTGTTACTGTGTCTGGCAAATCGAATACGTCACAGGGAGCTTGCCAGGCTCTGCCGTGCGGGCGAGATACTCCTGGTAGCTTGCCGGGCTCTCTGAGAGGGGTGGAGGAATCGAACTAATTATCTGAAATTTTAGAATTCCAGGAGCAAAAGGCTGCTCTTTTAGCCACACCCCATCTAATGCTATTCATAACAAGCAATACAAAAGAGGGTATGGGGGAGATTGTCTGCCATAGAGGCAGGGGGAGGGGTGAAATGGTCGGGGGGATATGGGAGGATACCTTAGTGGTGGAAGATGTGCACTGGTGGAGGGTTGGGTGATAGATCACTGTATGACTGAAACTCAAACAGGAAAGCTTTGTAACTGTATCTCAATGTGATTAAATAATAATAAAAGAATAATAAACATTCTGAATAAAAAAAAGTAATGTGTGGAGTTCATGTCCAATTCAATCATCTTAGAATCAATGGCTGAAAAAAATAGCAGTACTCCTAGTTTGAAAAAAAAAAAAGGATCATACAGGAGACAAGCATTGCATCCACAGCATTGCACACGGTTCTCTTAGCACTGCTTGTGTGGCCCAAACCAGCAGTCAATGCAAACAACACCCTCCCCCCTAAAAAAAAAAAAAAAAGCAAAACCCCCAAACTAAAATACACCAAATCATTTTTGTAGTTTAGAATGATTTGGGGTTCTTTTCCTTCTTGAATGACTTAATCATCCTTGAATAGTAAACGTCACTCAGTTGTGCTCAATTCCTACTCCTGACTCTCTGACCCAGGAACTGTATGTGATGCCAGTAATCAAACTGGGATTAGCCACATGCCAGGCAAAGGGCCTCAACTCCTGTACTATCTCTCCAGCCTGATGGCAAATGTTTAAAAAAATTTTTACACCTGCAACTCATTCTTCAAAAACTTATACTTTCTACATATCATTTTCAACTGCTCTGTTACTAGTGAGAAATTAACTGTTAATCTTTTCTTTAGAGACAGAGGTCCTATGTCATCTCTCAATACATCGCCTATGGTAGCTCTGAGTATATTTATTCTGCCTGAAAAATACTTCTGAAAAAATTATGGCCACTACCTTTAAACATTACACTATTTTTTTTTCTCTCAAATCTTTTTTTTTTTTGGAGTGGGGAGGGGGACAGGGGCAAACCCAGCGTTGCTCAGAGTTACCCCTGGCTCTGCACTTGGGGATCACCTATGTCAGACTTGGGGGACCATATGCGACCAGGGATGGAATCCAGTCAGTTGTATTCAAGGCAAGGCCTGCTGTGCCATCGCTCTGACCCCTTGGGTTTTTCATTTTCCATGTCTCTTAACCTTGCTTCTGTGTTTTCTGATTTTATCTGATTTATTGAGGATTTATCTGAGTTATTAAGGATTGAGTTTTCAGATAACTACTTCCAGTTCACCATTTCTCTTTAGCTGTCTAATCTGCTAACTGTTCCACTGTTTTCAAATTTGATTAACTGTATTTTCAATTTAAATATTTCTTTAAAAATTCTATTTCACTTGCTTATCTGGTAAATTATTTAACATTTAATACAAGCTACTCTATATAATTCAAATATTTATAATCTTTTGGAGAATGTCTGTAATTTTATTTTTTTGGTTCTCAAGTGTGATATCTGTCTTTGTGGAAGTTCTAACCCCCTATCTTTGAGAAGCTTTTCTTTGGCAAGTATTTGATTGTAGAGGTAATACAGGAATAACACACAAGGAGGGCTGGGATGACAGTACAGCAGCAGGTAGGGCATTCACCTTGCACGTCACTGACCTGGGTCTGATCACTGGTTCCCTAAATAGTCCCCTGAACACTGCTAGGAGTGATCACTCAACACAGTACTGCTGGGTGTGACCCAAACCCCCACCCCACCCCAACCAACAAAAAACCCCTAAAAAAACTGGAAGATTTTAGTCTAGAATATAAATTCCAATGTTATGGTGTTATTGCAAGGTCTTCTTTAGGATGTTGGTGCTGTGTGCTACAGAAAAGTATCTTTGGCAATCTCAGTTCTTTTGCCCTCTTCAATTTCCTACTGCATTGGCTTACTCTGTGGACTCAGTTCAGTTGTGACATTGAGATAATGTCTTTGATGAGTGTCAGTGCTGTGGAGTTGAGTTCCACACAACATTTTTTTGGGGGGGGGGGGGTCACACCTGGCAATGCACAGGGGTTACTCCTGGCTCATGTACTCAGGAATTATTCCCGGCAATGCTTAGGGGACCACATGGGATGGTGGGAATCGAACCTGGGTCAGTCGCATGCAAGGCAAACGCCCTACCTGCTGTGCTATCGCTTTAGCCCCCACACAACATCTTATGTGTAAAGTGCCTATTGAGTAAAAACAGACCAGTGAGGAGAGACCTGGACTGCATGACCCAAACCTCCCCCATCCACAACCTCCTGATGGTTCTGTCACTGCATTAGTCCCACTCTGGTTGACTGTGGCCTGGCTGCACTCTTCATACAATCATGCCCAAGCCCATAGTTTGGGCTTTGTCATTTGATTCATATTGTCAAAGAACTGCCAATCAGGAAGGCACTTTGAGAACATGAGTTAGGGACGGGTGTGAGCCCTCCCTGCCCCCATCCCCATGCCCACACCCCCACACCATCGAGAACCATCAAGAGGGAGAAGGACTAAGTCAAGTGAACACCAGGCCTGTGGGTATCAGGACAGAGAGGGAAAGGGCCAGGAGCCATTCAGCAGCCACTCCAAGGAGTCAACTTGTCTTTACAGAACCATCACACGATGCCTCCATGGCATTTCTTGGAGTTCAGCCATAGTGTAAGAAGCTGTAAAATAAAATGCCTGTGATCACAGTGGAAAAAAAAAATTCTCCCTCTTGTGTTTGGGTATTCCCACCCTTATTCTTGGATGCTGCAGTTTCAGCTTGTCCAGATTCATATAGTAATTGTTTGCTTATTACGGGATTGCCAGAGAGCATGTTTACATTGATGGAACCAGCGATGTCTCAAATTATGTGTCTTATAGGAAGTCCTAGAGGTTTTATAAAAAGTGGAAATTATGAAAGATTTCTGATAGTTATGCATGATTATGTTTAAATGTATATGCTAATACCTATACACATATAAGATGAATATCTCAGAGAAACACTAGATTTCAAGTGATAGATGGTAAATAACAATTCTAAATTTTTTTCTAAAGAATTCTAAATAACAATTCCAAATTAAAATTATGATTTATGAATTGGCAAACATCTGTGGATTTATGGCATGTGCTTCTTTGGGTTCTTAGACTTACCTTCAGCTTCTTTGGGAAAAGCAGAAGCACCTATGAAAATTTGTTAAGATTTGAATCTGTAATGTAGTTTTAAACCAATCAACATATAATGGTTATTTACATCATGACCCTAACTTGTGTTACAAGACAGCACAGATATTTTATATTTTTAAAATATTCCATTTGTAACTTTAAATAAAATGATCTAAAAGGGCAAGTATTCTGTCTTCATTTTCTGAAGGGTCAGATCTTAAAATAAGTTAACTTCAAATAGGAGAAAAGTATACATAAAACTGGTGTTTGCATTTTAACATCAATGTCTATTAGTCTTCATTTATGAAGACTCTGATGTTTTATTTTCTACCTTTCTATTCTTCTTAGTATCTAGTACATTGAATACATTTCACGAAAACTCATAAAATAAAAGATACTATTGATCTTAGATAAGAACACAAACTTTCCCATTACTACCTATGGACAATTTTACTTTGACTCTTCATGATCATGTCCTTCTCTAGAATAAAAACCATTTGTAATAAGGTTTACGTTAGTCTTTGAGGTCCTTACTATTATTGTAAAACCAACACACATTTTGACTAATAGGAAGTTTCCAAAAGGAAATAATACTTAAAACCAAAGTTACAAATTAAAATCTATTTAAACTTTAATTTGTGCATTTGTGGTAATTTATGACTGCAAAACACTTTTTTCTTAGAATGACAATAGTTAAAGGCACATTTCATTTGAATGCATAGTGTACCATCAGAAAATATCCAAATTTCCTTCAAAGTGCTTAAAGCAGTCACTTACACATACAGTAATACAAAATATATTTACACTCCATAGTTTAAAAATTTTAAATCTAAAATATATATATATTTAAAACTACAGAAAAAATTAGTGCTTTCTTCAGCTTAATTGTGTGAATATACCCTGCCCTCTAATTTTTTTTAGTGATTGACTTCATTAAAAATTTTCTGTACAACACATAGTTACAAAATGCTATGTCAATTTTAATGCTAAAAGTCTATCCCAGACATTGCTTTCTATGCATATTTGAGAACCAGGAAAACTGGAGCAGACTGTACCTCAAAAGTACTTAGTGTTTTATAATGTTAACACTGTTTATATTAAGTAAGACAATGAAGCTAAGATCCTCTAATGTCCTTTCCTATGAAAGTTAACTGGTACTTTAAAATGACACCTAAAAAAATGTATTGTTCCCCCTTTCCCTAAGATGTTTACCCAAATGATCTTGGGTTATAATTAGTTTGAAAAAATATGAAGTCTCTAAACAATTTTAATTGTTCTCTCAGGATTAAAACATGCCAACATACCTTGGCAAGGCTGGAATATTTACAAATGATTTTAGAGCAACTATAAATCCACATGCTTTTCTATTTTTCAGAGGATTTAAACCTGAATAATTTTTAAGACATCAGATTACTGTGAATAAATGGTTAATCCTGTACAGTTAGAGTTAACTTGCTATTCCTGAGATAGTTTGACCCTAACATGCTAAGCACAGAATAAAAGATGTTATTTTTGAACTACAGGGAAATAATGAAATCATAGAGTAGGAGGAAAAATACCAAAAAATATTCCAGGCAAGTGGAAAAGTCATGGTCTGCAAAAAAGACTTTCCTGTGAGAGCATGAAAAAAACCACAAATGGATCCTCTGAAAAGTTGTAAAAAGTATTTGATCAAATTATTTTTGAGACTTTTGAGGTACAGTTTTAGTGTCATAATACATTTTATAAAATATAGACTGTTTTATCAAAAATATTTATACATTCTATTATAATATATTGCTTTTGCCCTCAGTAACTGCCAATATAAAATCTGGATCCAGTGGCCCAAAATGTACAAATGCACTTAATGTAAATGCTGGAGGAGTTTGAGGTGTCTGCTTGGCCACTGTACAAAGTGATGAAGTGGTGAAATTAAATAATAAACCTACAACATAGAATACATTACAACTTGCACATATACATGTTCACAGCATGTATACAATGATAATCCCTATGTTTTAACAAAGATATAGTTCCCTTCTACAGTAGACACAGAACAAGATGAACTAGATCGATAAATGTACAATGACTATTGAAAAGGAATAATCAGTTCACTGATTTTAGAAGGTATGACCAAACATACCAAGAGTCTAGACTTTGGGAATGCATACAGATAACAGTTCAGGCTGGTCAGAGTCCTCTTAAAACTTAAAGTAAATGCTGATGTTTTAATTGTTCCTGTTTCAGCATGGTTTAATAGACAAAAAAAAAAAATGTTTGGCAGATAGCTTCTGTTGGAAAGCTTTGAGGCTCTGTTTTATGGTAAAGATAAGGCAACATTTTTATTTCTCCTAAATAAATATAAAAAAAATTACAAAACATCAATTCATTTCATTTAAAAAGCCATCAAATATGTTTAAATGGTATATGCCACTACATTTTTAAAAAATTACATTAATTTCTTTAAAAAAAATTAGAGCTTTTGCCTTATTCTAGCATTCCAAGCCCGTTTTCTCTCTTTATAGAGATAGCTAAATGAAGTTAACTAAGTTATTTTCCTTTCACGTAAAGGCAGGTCAGGCAAATGGTAAAGCTAGGAATTGTAGAAGAGTGCTTTTTCTCATTTTTAAATAGATTATTATTGATCCAAAAGTTTTCATCTGTGATAGATTTTCATGGCAGATGTTCATTCAGCTTAAATTCCATGAAATTGTTTCCAGTGCTCGATATTATGCTGAAAATAAATTGAAAAGCCACATTCGAGAAGGTATTATAATAGTACTTTAAAACGAATCTTCATGTTTTAAAAAAACTTGGATGCTTATGGTGGCACAGAGAGCAAACGAAGGGCTGGTATTTTTAGGAGGTCTTCTTGTGAGTCAGTCTACTTGGTTTCACAGTGTCTAGGAGCTTAACACCAATCTGCAATATAGTCAAAATCTCTGAACATCTTTTGCTCCTCTTCCGAAAGTATCCTTGGTTCTCGAGGTGGAGTGAGAATAGGTGCTTCTGAGGTGAATTCATCATCAAAATTACTGACGTCCTCCCGGCCTCTAATGGTAGGCACAAAAGGCGGCTTTACTTTTTTGTCCATCAGGGCACTCCAATCAGTGAGCTGAATCACAAAACATAAAATGACCAATTTAGCTCCCTTTTTCTACTTGCCATAGCTTTATTAACATTTAAATTTTTTTTAATTTACCCGGAAAAATGGGTGCTTTTTTACATCCTCTGCATCTTTCTCACCAGCTCCAAGGCGCCGCTCAGGATTTCTTCTTAATAGCTAAAACAATATAAGGTAAAAAAATTTCAAAAGCCAACAACTTCAGTAACAAAATTTCCCATATCTCACAAAGATTTAGGCTCCCCCTCCCCCCAGTATGCTCACTTAAACTATCTATGAACTAAAAAAGAACTACTAAAGTTCTACTTGTAAATTTCCTTCAATATAAAAAATAAAAGGGATGGAGATGTGGCTAAAGTGGTAGAGCAAACGCCTTGTATATGCAAGGGCTGTGGTTCCATCCCTGGCACGGCATGACACCCCCAATTCTGACCCCAGAACACTAGATGTAGCTCTTACAACTAATGTTTAAAACCGTGAATTCTTACCCTTCTCATTATGGAAATGGCTTCTGTAGATAAGAACCTTGGATACCTTACTTCATCATTTACAATACTGTCAAAAACTTCCTCTTCATCATCACCAGGAAATGGGGACTGGAAATAATATCTTTGAGTAAGTAAATTAAGTTTCAACATAGTAAAGTCTTTATTACCAATATAAAGCATAATCAAGAATCCTGTACAGCAGAAAAACAAATCCACGAGGACAAAAAACTAAATAGGACTGTAAGAAGTTATAGTACGTCTGTCCATTACTTCTTAGAGGATATATCAGAGATTCTCACTAAATTCTTCTTTTAATTAATTTCACTACCCTTATACATTTAGTACATTTGTACAAAAGTATTTTTCATTTAATTTCACCTCAAGTCTTTAATTTTATTCACACGTTCAAATGGCTGAGTCAATATTTTGAGGGGCTATTAGGCAGCAGAAAATATATATATGACACAATCTTAAGAAGTTCAATCACATGAAAATACAGAAATATGGCAATAAGTGTTATAAATATAGAGGAAACATAGCGTTTACAGAAATACATCAAACATGGATGTGATTTAGATTTCAATTTCAATTTCAAGAGCAAATTAGTGGTGGCAAAACACAGAGACATTTGCAGGTATTATGACAACACCAAGCTGCCAGTAATATTAGACTGAAAGAAAAATGTAAAAGTATACATTTCCTGTAACATTTAGCCCTGTATACATAATAGGTTCTTGGGCATTTCAGTGAAATTTAACTGTGTTAAAATTCCTGTTATGGCTTACAGTCATAAAAAAATAGTTATAGTCAGTATAATAATCTGAAATGTAAGGTAACAAATTCTCTTTGCTGAAAAGTTGGTTGCCAAATGTGATTTTACTAAAGCATGTCACAAATGCTAGGAATATACTCAATTACCTTAAAATTTAGGCAATCAAATGTCTAAGTATCAGTGCTTAAAGTCACTGAAATAAGTCAGTCTTGCTAAATTTATTTTCTCATTGTCTATTTGGGAACCGAGATTAGCCACATTAGGTTCAATTTGGGTCCTTGAAAGTTACTAACAGCTAAGGAGAAAAGTAGCATTAATAAAAAAATGAGGAATCTTTGAAAACTGTACTCAGAACCTAACTTTTTAAAGCTGAGCTGTCAATTTTATTCTCATAACTAATAAATGATCTATTTGATTATAGAAACTTTAGTTTATTCTTTTAAAATAAATCAAATTATTATTTAAAAAGTTTTTTTTTTTTGCTTTTGTTTTGTTTTGGGGTCATACTTGGTGGTGCTAAGAGCTTACTCCTGGCTCTGTGCTCTGGGGCCATTCCTAGTAGACTCGGGATTCTATATGGGGTATCAGGGATCAAATCTGGGTCACCCACATGCACGGCCAGCATCCCAACTCACTGTATTATTGCTCTGGCCTCCAATCAAATTCTTTTTTGTTTAAGGGTAACTCTTGGTGCTAAGGGGCCGCTCCCAACTCAGAATTCCAGTGTTGCTCCTACTGGGCTTGGAGCACCAAGTGAAGTCTGGGGATCACACCTACCTCTCCCAGTACAAAGCATGCACCTGGACCATTGAATTACCCTTCTGACCACCTAAATCATTACTACGTGGGCAGTAGTGTTTCTTTATGGCACTTAATTTGTTTTTCTCTCTTAGGTACTGGGTATGCGCTGAAGCCCCCTGGTCTCTGCCTGGCCAGGCCCAAGTGCAGATTCCTGGGGTTGCCCTACCTAGTTCAGGGGGATAGTTGAGTCAGTGATGACCAGGGATGGGGACACGCAGCAGATGAACTCATCCCCCAGGTGACCAGTGGGAGACCTGGGGTGTGGGGTGGAGGTAAAGGGGGAACAGGATATGGGCCTGATATCATCCCCGACCCCCTGGGCTTGAGCGATAGAACAGCGGGTAGGGCATTTGCTTTGCATGCGGCCGACCCAAGTTTGATTCGTCTGTCCCTCTTGGCGAAACTGGCATGCTATTGAGAGTATTCCGCCCACATGGCAGGGCCTGGCAAGCTGCCCGTGGTATATTTGATATGCCAAAAACAGTAACAAGTTTCACAATGGAGATGCAACTGGTGCTCACTCGAGCAAATCGATGAACACCAGGAGGACAGTGCTACAGTGCTAGATAATTAAACACAGGGGTTCACACATTAGGAGCGTTTGCCTTCACACATCCCAGCCCTACTGTTTCCTTTTGGGACTGAGACAGCCAGTCTGGGAAAACTCTATTTCACAAGCTTCTCAACCTGAATTTCAAGTCTATTTGATCAGACAATCTCGTATTTGAAAATGGTCATTCTAAATACAGATAGATTTGTGGATTTGTTAAGATGTTAAAGCTCCTTGTTTCTGCAAGTAGATTATAAACTGACATGGCTAACAATGCATAGCTAATATGTGCTATTAAAAGTATTTATAAATTAAGCTCAACTGTGAGTCAAAGTTAAATGTCTAGGTTAAGAATTTTTTTCTGATACCTTCAATCCCATTTAGCATATGGAAGGTGGGCGTGTTAACCTTAGTTTATTCACAAATCCTTTTAGTTCTCAAAACATGTACAAATTTAAGTATACATTTGAGAATGTTGGATATATCCAACAGTTTTCAATTTTTTCACTATAAATTAGACACATTAACGATGATGTGTCTCATTACCCTGACCCTAAGGAGTCTCCAATGCAGCACCACTGGGAAGGACGAGTAAGGAGAGGCTGCTAAAATCTCAGGACTAGGATGAATGCAGACGTTACTGGTGCCCACTCGAGCAAATCGATGAATCACGGGAAGAAAGTGATGCAGTGACAGTGAAATAAGACACAAACTTAATTAAAAAAATTATTTATTTTTTGGTGGCCATACCCACTGTTGCTCAGTGCATATTCCTGGTTCTGTGTTAGGGACCATATTCAGTGCTAGTGATATCACCCAGAAAAGCTGAATGCAAGGGAAGCGTCTCACCTGCTGTACTCTCTCTACAGCCCTAGACCTAAGCTATAGCATTGAAAAACAAGTTTTTACTAAAAATTCAAAATTATGCTGTAAAGTATACTCATGAGTTGTTAAGTTCAGTTCTTTCCCATTTCCCCTCTTATGGAGTAACTGAAGAGAAATAAAATTGTAATTTTGAAGAAATAGACAAATCCACTTTTTAAAAAATTTTCTATATAATTAAGAGATCAATCAAATAAGAATTCTTTACTATTTTCCTTTTTCTTATTTGGACCACACCCTTTTGGTACTCAGGGCTTACTCCTGTCTCTGCACTCAGGGATCACACTCGGTTCTGTGCTCATAAATCATACCAGGTGGTTCTTTGAGAACCATATATGGTGCCAAGAACTGAATGGGGAATCTGTTGGCTTGCAAGACTAATGCCTTAACCCTATACAACCTCTCTGGTCCTAGGAATTTTAAACAAAATATGGAATAGATGCTTTCTTACTTTTCACTATCAGTCAGTCACGAGAAACCAAATCACTTAAGAACAAAGTAGAACAAAATGGCTTTTCATTCTACAGCATTTTGTAGTACACACACATTTTGCTTGTCACTTTAATATTATATTTCTCTAATTATACTTCTGAAAATTATAATCACGTATGTAGTTTTTATTAATTTATTTAAATTACACATATACTCTACTACATAAAAAAAATGCAAGAAAATGTTTCCCCCGCCCCTTTTTTTAAAAAAAGAAAAGGATTTGAAAATGGAGTTCAAGTATACCAAAATTTATAGAAGCAACTACTGAGGGTGCTATTGGTATCCTTAAAAAAAGAGCACAGGGGCTGGAGCGATAACACAGTGGGTAGGGCGTTTGCCTTGCATGCGGTCAACCCAGGTTCAATTCCCAGCATCCCATATGGTCCCCTGAGCACTGCCAGGAGTGATTCCTGAGTGCAGAGCCAGGAGTAACCCCTGTGCAACACCAGGTGTGATCCAAAAAAAAAAAAAAAAAAAAAGAGCACAATGTGGATTAGTGGGAAAACCTGCCCCCCTCAAACTATCTGAAACAGCATATATTGGCATTTAAGAGGTGAAAAATTTTAATCTGGAACACTGGTCTCAAGAAAAGGGGCAAGGGGCAATCTTCAGAGAGATTATAATAGAGGACGGGCTTGTAAGTGACTTGTAAGTGGCCAACTCAGGTCTGACACTGTGCATCCCATATGGTCCTCCAAGCTCCACCAGGAGGTGATTCCAGAGCTCAGTGCTAGGTGTCAGCCCTGAGCACAAGTGGGTGAGGCCCCAGAACAAAACAAACAACCACCCTCCCCCCAAAAAAGTGACTAATACTGTCCTAGAGCAAGCAAAGCAGTAATAATTTAGAAATAGGTTCCGAAGCCAGAAATCCAGGGTTAAAATCCTAGTTTCAGTATCCAAGAGAACTGTAATTTTCGTGGTGGGTGGAGAGGGGTAGGCAGTCAAATTCAGCTGTGTTTAAGGCATAATCTTGGTTTTGTGCTCAAGAATCACTCCAGATGGTGATGGTCAGGGGACCATAAAGGATGTCAAGGATAAAATAGGGGTCAGTTACATGCAAGGCAAGCAACCCTGTACTCTCTAGACCCTAGAGTAGTGTCACCCTAAGTTATTAATCTTTCTGTGTCTCCATGTATGCATCTGAAATTGGCATAAGGATAGTACTGAGTGCATTAAAGGTTGCTGAAAAGTTGAATGAATTCATATTTATAAAGTATATGGAATAATGTCTTTAATTTTTTTTCTGTTTTTTTGGGTCACACCCAGTGATGCATAGGGGTTACTCCTGGCTCTGCACTCAGGAGTTACTCCTGGAGGTGCTCAGGGGACCATATGGGATGCTGGGTATTGAACCCGGGTCGGCCGTGTGCAAGGCAAACGCCCTACCTGCTGTGCTATCTCTCCACCCCAGAATAATTAGTCTTTTAAATGTTATTTTCTTCCTTTTCCAAATACCACTCCAATTATACATATCAAAAGAAGTTATCTTTTGTATGAACAAAATTTTTGAAATTTGATATAAATATCAAATCAACTGACTTCAATGTAAAGGGATGGTTGATATTAAGAAAACTGATGAAGAATTATCAATTTTGTAGTTTTTTTCTTGCATTCCGAGATAATCAAGTCTCTCTGAAAAGATTTTTATCTATCCATCTATCTATCTATCTATCTTTGGGTATGTTTTTTTGGGGGGGTCGGGGTGGGGGAGATAACACATAGCACTGCACAGGGACCAGTTCCTCTTGGTACTTAGGGGTTGCTTCCAGCATTGCTCGGGTACCAGTCGGGTACAAGGCTACTCCTTAACTTCTATACTACCTCTCTGTCCTCCTGAGAAGTTTTCAACTATCAGATGTAGATATTTAATCTTTCCCAATTGCACCCTAATGTATTAATTCTAACATCCAATAACAACATAGATCAGCCTGTTGTTAATACTTCATTTGTGTAAAAACTGTTACCTTCAGAAATACATTTTCAGTTAGTCTAAACAGGGACAGTGAGATACGTAAGGCACTTGCCTTGTAGGCAGCTGACCCAAGTTTGATCCCTGGGACCATATATGGTCTCCTGAGTACCACTGCCAGGCACAGGACATTGCCACATCCTCCAATAAAAATTAGTCTTAAACAGCAAGAGAAAAAAAGGTAGTATTAGCAGCTTTACTATGCCTTTTTTTTTTTTTGCGGAGGGGGAGGGGTTTGGGGTATGCTCAGGGGTTACTCCTGGCTCTGTGCTCAGGTACTTTTGCTGGGTCTCAGAGCACCAAATGGGAAGTTGGGATTGAATCCAGGTTGCTGCAAGTCAAGTGCCTTACATGCTGTAACTATCTCTCCAGGCCCATCATGACATTTCTGAAGGTAACATCATCTTTTGACCAACATATACAGGAGTTTTCATTACGAACATAGAACATTCTTTTCATTACTTTTTCTATTTTTCTATTCTCTCTAAAATTACCATATATCATAAAAGAATATATGGATTTTACCTTAAGTCATAAAATATGGCCGCAGCAATACAGAAACTAAAGAAACTACTTTCAAAACTGTTAATGTGTTCCACAAATTATATAAAATCTAAAAAACAGTAATAAAAGTAAAACCAAATTATAACTGTTTATACAAATTTCTACTTATATAGAAGTATTGTTTTTTTAATCAATGGCATATTATATTCTTTCAAATCATATTTATACTCTATTTTATCTAGTTTACATTTCTTACCTCACCAACAAGCATTTCATATATAAGTACACCAAGTCCCCACCAGTCTACAGCTCTTGTATAGGAAGTTTCTGTTAATACTTCTGGAGCAAGAAATTCAGGAGTGCCACAAAATGTGCTTGTTCTATCTCCATACCCCATTCCTGAAAAAGGTAAAATTGTTTATATTAGTTAGCCAAAACAAGCAAAATAACAGTTGTCATAAAAATTATAAGATTTCCTTAGAAAGAAAAATTAAGGTTGTATAGACTGTGTTTGGCGACCAGATTCAAGATATATCACAAGCTTTACAATACAATGTCCAAGATTGTGAAAATTTGTGTTATAGAAAAATTGTGTTATAGAAACTCAAGTAAATCACTGAATGGGTTAAAAACAAAATTTTCATGTTTGATTTTATTTACTTATCTTTCTCATTATATTTTACAGTTAACTGTGAAAAGTTAGAAGGAGCTGATTTTGCATTTCAATTCATCCTTTCAATTCATTCTTTTAAGTAAGTAAATTTATTGGCTTCACTATAAAAAAAAAAAACACCAAGTATACTTTGGAAAATACCAAAAATAAACCTTTGGTTAATCAAGAGTAGACCAAAGGCATTAAATTAGTTTGAAATATGGTATTAATATTTTAGCTAACTAGCTTTCAGGTTTATAAGCATCATCTTATGAAAGTGCTAGAAAAGTTCTCAATAGTAATTTTAAAAGGTACTAATTTATGATGATGGAAAAGCTCAAATGAATATTTAAATCAATGCACCGAGATTTAAAGGACATAAAAAAAATACATTAGTATATTACACTGGAGTAATCATTTGTTTTTTTCCTCAGAGCCATATCCATCAGTGCTCAGGGGAGCTGTTCAGTGCTGGGCATCATGAACCTGAGCCTCCTGCATGCAAAGCATGTGCTCCAGCCCTCTGTCTGACCGATCTTCCACTTCCCACCCCTTTTCTGAGATCAAATTTTTCTAACACCGATGAACTGGTTATACGTAATCAAGAAATTATTTTTTTCAAAAGAATTTATATATACAAAAAATTCTATAGGAATCTTTTTTTGGGGGGCCACATCTGGCTCTATGTTCAGGGGTTACTTCTAGTTCTAAGTTCAGGAGTTGCTTACTACGGTGCTTTGGGGGACTATGTGAATCTGGGGGCATTGAACGAGGCTTCTTGCAAGCAAAGCATTTCCTCAACCCATAGTGCTCTCTTCCCCAGCCTCTGGCCAGAATTAGGGAAAAAGTGAGTGAGAGACTAGAATTAATGTTTTCTTTGATTTTTCATTCCATGTACTGCTCAAAACTAAAGCAATCTGTCGTACCTCGAAGACAAAAAGTACACCAATATTTTTTGCCTTGCTTTGTTTATATTATAAAATCTGTCACATTTTATTTTATTTAACTATTTAGATTTTTGGGTCACACTTGGCATCCTCAGGGATTTCTCATGGCACTGAACTCAGGAATTACTTCTGGTGGTGCTTGGGGGACCATACAGGATGATGGGGATCGAATCTGGTTTGGTCACATGCAAGGCAAATGCCTTACCTGCGGTACTATTTGCTCCAGCCCCCAAATCTGTGACATTCTGATATAACACATTCATCAACTACAGCAGCACATTATCCATAGCATTCATTCTAATATATTTCCCTGACGCCTGATTCTTTGTCTTTCTAATAATTTTGGATGCTTTCTGCTTTGTTTCTTCTTTAGCTCAATCTGTTCTATTCTTTGTGTATCAGGGATCAAATTCAGGGCCTTAAGCATGTTAGTCACATGTGTTTCCATCAAGTCACACCTGTGGTCCTGTGCCTGCTGACATTTTAAAAGAAGTCTAATTTGCTAGGACTTTTGGGCCACATCTGGTTCTGCGCTCAAGGGGCTACTTCCAATTCTAAGCTCAGAAGATGCTTACTACAGGGCTTGGGGGACTATGTGAAGCTGGGGATTTAACCAGGCTTCCTGGTTCAAAGTTTAAAAGTAGTCCAATTAGCTAGGATTACAATTTGGTGACCACCATGGAAGACATCAATTCTCAGGTTCTTGTGTCATAAAAATCTCACTTGAAATTTTGGCTTTGACATCTGGTGGGTTTGTGACTTTGGAAAAACTGACTTTAAAACTTTGCTTCTCCATTTAAAAGAAATATACACCTTCTTAAGACTGCTATAGATTAAATAAGTAATGCATATGAAACATTTAGAAAACTACTGGGCTGTACTCAAACTAGCACAAATGGCTTAAACATGCCTAGATATTATAATGTATTATACATAAAAATATGCACTACATTACAATGTATGTATATGTATGTGTATGCATAAAATATACATGATAAATTATAATAACTAACAGTTTGTGCGAGTCTGGGCAGTTATGTGCCCAAAATCTTCTAAATGCATCATATAAATTATTTAATTTATAGCAATCTTATGAAGCTGTACATTGCTATTAAACTCATTATAATTGAGGAAACAACGCATTAAAATCAAACAATTTAGGCCAGAGCCATGGAACAGTGACAAAGGCAATTCCCTTGCATGCAGACAACTTGGGTTCAATCTCTGTACTCCACATGGTCCCCCATGATCACCAGAAGTGATCTATGAGCACCGCCAGGTATGGACACCCCCCACCTCCAATAAAAATCAAATAGTTTTTCTAACGTCTCACAGCTACCAGGTGGAAAAGCCAGAATTTCAAGTGAGATCTTTATGGCTCAAGATCCTGGGGATTATAAGTGCCCAAACTGGCATGAACAGCTCAATCTACTGTGTATATTTTATAATAATGAAGAAAAACAACATTTAATAAGTTTAAGGTATTCAGTACGTATTTTTTGAGTACTTATAATCTTGGCACCCATATCAAGTAGTGGTAACACATAAGTGAGAATTAAACTGAAGAGTTTTCATCTTTAAGAAATTTAAGTAGAGGGAAACAGAAAAATATGCTAATTTTATGTTATAAGAGCAAGACAGTATGGAAGCATTCTGAAAATGGACTCCTAAACTTGACTTGGGAATAGGACAGGAAGAGGAGCGTCTCGGGTAACTTCTCTGGGGAGGTGACACCTGACTTGAATATGTTAGTCAGCAAAAAAAGAGTGGTTATGGTGGGGACAGTGGCAAAGATATGTAGTCCGTAAGCAGTTTGTTATTGCTGAAACAGAAAGAATGAAGCAGATACCTCACCCCCAATATATCGCACTAGAAAAGCAGTCAGATCGGGAAGCACACTGCATTAACACATCTTAGCCATTAAAGGGTTTTCAACAGAAGTGTACTATGATCAGCACTATATTTATATGGCCCCACTAGCATTTTAGTAATTACACGGCAGACTGATTTTCGGCAGAAAAAATAGAGACAGAAAAAGTTAACAGGTTATTAAAAGTAGTCTCCTCAAAATAAGATGACAGAAAGAGAAAGATAAACATCGGATGATCTCACTCATATGTGGAACAGAGAAGCAAAGCTTAGGAACAAACAAAACCAAAGGAAATAAATCCCTGAGACTGCAGAGCTCTGTTCATTAGAAGATGTGGGAGTAGAGGAAGCACATGTAGAAGGGTACCAAAATCAGTGGAGGGATATAGAGTGATGGTTATGGAACTGTAACGTACTTCAAAAAGGTGTAAAACTGTAGCTCAAAAACAGTCATGCAAACTTAGTGTTAGTGCAGGTCAAATATTTCCAAAGCACCAAGATGAAGGCTGACAAAAGAAGAGAGAAGAAGAATGATTAATAAGTATTAAAATATGTAGTCTTAGAGGGAAGAAGAAAGATTAATAAGTATCAAGAAAGCGTATGCGAGCATATTAAATGATTAACTGGATGTGTAAAGTAGAGAGGAGGACAGAGTCCATGCTATAATTCTACATTTCAAAGTGGAAGGGTAAAAGGACTGTGACACTATTAACTAAAAATTAAATTATCTGAAGAAAAGAAACTATTCTTATTGAATATGGCTTGAACGGTGGGAATTAAGACTATTCAGGGTAAAGCTATCTATATGTCAGGTGAATATATATCAAAAAAGGAAACATAAGATTTGGAAATCATTAGCATAAAATTTTAAAACTACCAGCAAAGAACAATATGCTCAGGACAGATTTTGAGGAACAAAAGTTTTGAAATAACAGTATATAATCCAGAAGTCCAATAAGATGGAAGAACATAAACAAAACTTTAACTTCACTTGATAATTAGAAATTCAGTGGCTAATCAATAAACATATATTTACAAAGTTCATTCATTTATTCAACTACTCATTAATACGTGCCAAGCGATATATTGTTTACCATGAAAACAAAACCAAGAAACAAGCCACCAGTGTAGGGGGATACAGACACTCAGTTATAATACAACGTATTAAGTGTAAAGGTAAGAATAGCTCTTTCCTTTATGGTAGGCACTGTGTCACATGCTTATCTCCAATTCTCCTAATGTTTCACTTTATAGTTGAGAAAACAGACTCAATAATATCAAGTAACTAAAAAAAATGCATCATAAATAAATGGCAGATCAAATTCAAACCAAGGATTTCTGGTGTCCATGTCCTTGGCTTTCGTATTCCCAAATGCTAATTCTAATTTTTCTAGTTTACTTATTTACTTTTGAACATACACAAAGCATTCTTGAGATATAGCACTGTAGCACTATCCTCCTGTTGTTCATTGATTTGCTTGAGCAGGCACCAGTAACGTCTCCATTGTGAGACTTGTTACTGTTTTTGGCATATCAAATACATCATGGTTAGCTTCCCAGGCTTTGCCATGCAAGCGTGATATTCTCGGTAGCTTGCTGGGCTCTCAGAGAGGGGTGGAAGAATCGAACCAGGGTCGGCCCGGATCGGCTGTGTACAAGGCAAGCGCTCTATCCGCTGTGCTATTAGTTCAGCCCTCTTGAGATAGATGTATATATTCTTCCTATTTTAAAATGCTGAATAAAAACTTTAAGAGAAATTGGAGAGAAGTTATTAGATCTATGTAATTTGCTCCAAGCAGTGCCAGCACAAAAAAAGAAAAAAAATCCAGTGTTTAATCAACACTTCCTTAGAGTTGTGACAATTAAGCAAAGATCTGTATTAATCAAAGAAATTAGCTTTATATTAAAAACTGAGCCTTATTTCTGAAAGCCTAGATTTATTCATACAGACAGAAAACTCTTAATGTGATAATTAGGTGACAGGAACAATCTATACTATCATAATAAAGATAAATTAAAGTTGAAAATATATTTTGCTTTCCCCAAACCTGAAAACTACTGAAGTACAAAGGAACAATAATCTATTACGAAAGAAATTTTAAAATAACCAATTACCTTCTTTGCAAAGACCAAAATCAGCAATTTTCACAAAGCCCTCTGTATCTAGTAATAAGTTATCCAATTTCAAATCCCTGTTCAGGATTAAAAATAAATACAAAATGAAAAATATCAATAAAATCAGTAGATAATGTAGTGAGAAAAAGATAATTTAAAGAGGAACCATTCTTTCTCTTAACTAAAAATGGGGTTTTCAAGTTATGATTTGAAGTTTTAGTACTATATAACAAAAGTTTACTTTTTTCCCTTGAGGCAAGTTTATGTTTCTACATAACATTTCTGAATAATTTTCCCTGTTTCTTTAAATACATTTTTTAAAAAACCAGAAAGGTTCAAATATCTTTAACTTAGTTTTATTATTTTTTTATTTGTGATAATGATTTAGATTAAATTTGAATTCTGTCTACAAATAATTCATCAGAAAGAACCATCAAGCATACTCACTAGAATGGAAATCACTGATGAACTGTGTTATCATAGGCCAACTAATGATTTATTATTATTAATAATGATTATTTTATAACCTGCTAATGGGCAGAGAATAGAAAGAGTTCACTGTGTAATTCGCATTTTTTACTTCTTTCAAAACTCAAGCTTTAAATTTTTTATTAAGGGTCACTTAGATATTAGGGGAGGGGAGCATATTTAACCTTTTGTGATAATAACTGAAAATAAAGAGAAAGCTGTTCACCTAAAGATTTTAAGTCAAAAGTCTTTTATACTTTGAGTACAATAAGATTATCAGGAAACCGTTACCTTAGAACTATTGTTATATGTTTGTATTAGTCACTTAGTCACAATTTCAATTTGTTTTGCCATAATTTGTCAGATCAAGAGCATTGTGCCCACACAGTGCTGTCCACAGACTAGCTGCTGACTATGAACTATGTGTTACTGTTGTGCAATGGATAAAAACCTCACACAAGTGTATCTCAGCTAAGTCACCAAAAACACTGTGATTGGCAGCAAGACAATGAAGGAAGGTTGGGTGATACTTTATACTCTTGCACACGCTACTTACTTATTCTATCATGGACATATTTTGTATAGTACTTATCTCTAAATATTTTCCCCCTCTTTTTCTGAGGGGTGAGAGTGGGTCTGTGGCCCACATCTGACTGTGCTCCGGGTTTACTCCTGGCTGTGAACTCAGGGATCACTCCTAAAAGGTTCAGGGGACCATATGTGGTACCAGGGATCAACTACGGGACAGCCATATGCAAGGCAAATACCTTACCCACTGTACTATTGCTCTGACCCTCTAAACATTTTCTGCAGCGCATCAACTAAGAAACTGTTGATGAACTGTGTTATCACAGGCCAAACAATAATTTAACTACTTTAACCAGATAATAAGCAGAGAATCACAAAGACAGAGGTTCACTGTATAATCTGGTAATTGTTTTAAAATTGAAGTTTAACTATTTTTTAAAGGTCACCTATATCGAACAGAAAAATAAGCAGCTACAGTTAAAAACAAATATCCTTTTTGTTATTTTTAATTCTAATTCACAGCACATTAACTCATTAGGAAGTATCAAAACTTTACTTACCTATAGACAATTTTGTGTTCATGTAAATATTGCAACCCAAGAACTACGCATGCAGCATAAAATCTGTTTGAAGAATTAAATTAAAAGGTTAATAAATTTCAGTGCTCTTGAATCAATTAACTCATGCTTCAGAGCAGGATCCTGTAACTAATCTCACAAATATTTAGATACTTACTACCTGTTAATAATGAAGATAAAGTTGAAAAGAAAAGTAAAATTACTACAACTGAAGTCATTAATTTTACTTGGTAGAATCACTGATTTTTTAGAGGGTCAGTTCCTCTTAGAGTGAACATTTGATCTGATTCTGTAGGAGAAATGGCAACATGCCAGAAAGGCAGAAGGACAAAATGGAGGAAATATAAGGCATTTCTCTAAGAGAAAAGAGAACAAGGTGTAAAGGCAATAACATGTATGACCGCCAGTAATAGGTTTGGGATAATCAAGTTAAAGGATGAGAAGATAGGATAAAAGATGGGTTTCTGGGGATGTAAGTGTGTCTGGCATCCTTTCAGGTCACTAGCACTCAAAAATTTAAAAAATGGTTTTTGATCTAAGGAAATGAGGCTAAAAAAGATATTCTGATAATAAACTGTGAAGAATCTTGGAGGTCATATTATGGAGTTCATATTATGGATATTAAAACTTCTTACTGACTGATAACTAAACCACTCTAGTGAGGACAAATGACAAAATTTATATTAAGAATCACTTTTTTCATAGTAGTGTCAAGACTGGCAAAGAAACAGAGAGATACCCCAAGAAGAAAAGAAACAGGTAAGTCTGTTGCATTGGAGATAGAAGGATCACGAGAATCTCAAAGCAAAGACAACAAAAAAGAGTAAGAGATGATTCAAAGAAGTGAATAATACCTAAAAAACTAACAAGACAAGATTTTGTGTCACATCAATTTTAGAAGAAAAGTATAGGAAAAGGTTGAAGGGCTAAAGATGACTCTCAAGGCTTCCTGTTAGTGTAACAAAGAAACTGAAGGGAAGATGGGTTTCTGGGGACATGAATGTGTCTGCATCCTTTCAGGTCACTAGCAATCAAAAATTTAAAAAATGGTTTTTGACCTAAGGAAAACTTGAGTGCAGCTAGAATATGTCATTTTGAGAGATAGGGCCCTGCTTGTCTTTTACAGTACTTACCTAAATGTTAAGAATAATTAATGTCTACCATATGGTAACTTTACTGAATGAGAAAGTAGGTAATAAATAAATGAACAAAGGCAAATATGTCTTCAGTTTGAAACAGCCAACAAGGAAAAAAAAGAACCTACTTTAAATTATATAGCAATGTGGATTTTTTCTTTATACAACACACACAGAAGTCCCACTCCAAAGAGCAGCAGTTCCTGTTTCAATCTTCCTTCTCATCCTATCACCATTATCATTACCATTATCATTAAGAGAGACTATTCCTGTCAATTTGAATGTTCTTCAAAATGTTCAGTATACACCTATTATGATTATGAAGATTATATAATCATGTTTTGTGTTTACTCATTTTTACAAAGTGGGCATTTTTTGAGAATTTAGAATCCAACTATTTAGAAGTATTTAACTATATATTAACTTATCATTACTTACCAGAGTACTTTTATATATGCTTTTGGAAAACTTAGCATGGTGGCAAAACAATATGATAAAAATTATATATATATAAACCTGGATTTCTCTTGTTCATTCTTTGCAAAACCACCCACATGGTCCCCAAGTCCTGCCAGGAGAGATCCCTGAGTGCAGAGTCAGGAATAAGTCATGAGCACTGTTGGGTACGGAACCCCAAACCAAACTAAAACAACTCTCCCCACAACAAAGAAACACCCAAATTAAAGTCATATTTCATTCAATATTAATGTCAGGTACTGTTTAATATTTTCAATTCAGATTAATCTTGAAATGAAGCTTTTACGATAAGGCAGGAAATGAAGCCATTACAGTAATTAGCTTATCTAAAGCCATATAGTTAAAATACAGCAAAGCTAGGAATCAAATTTATTTCCATAGTCCTAGTCAATTAAGAATCCACTGATTCCCTAGCCTGTGCTTGTCACTTCTAAGAGTTCCTCTAGTACATATAAGAGACATGGCCCTTTCCTCCCAATTAGTAAGGTGAGAACAAGAATACAAACATCAAGGATGTTTCTATGGAAAAAATAATCAGAGAGTGGACTAGTGACCTTATTTGGAGGTTCACAGTCACTGTCCTCTCTTCAAGCGGGCCCAGCAACATTGAGAGACTTGTTACTGTGTTTGGCATATCGAGTACATCATGGGGAGCTTGCCAGGTTTTGCCATGGGGGCAAAGGAATCAAACTCGGGTTGGCCATGTTGGCTGTGTGCAAGACAAACACCATACCCGCTGTGCTATTGCTCCAGTCCATTTGGAGGTTAGTGATGTGATATTATTTCAGATAGGGAACTGAGAAAAAGATCTTTAAAGAAATGTCATTTGAGGTAAGATCTGTATGAACAAAGGTACTATCTCTGAAATGAAAATATGCAATAAGCATTTTACTTAGACTATTAGTAAACAATGTATGATTTGTATGTTCAGCAAAGCTTAAAGTTCATTAAGGCAGAAATGAATTTTGATTTTCATTCTTTAAAAAAATGGACACAACAAATTCCTATGCAACGAGTATAAGGTTAGAAATAATCTACAATATAGACTCTAGATTAAATTTTTAAATTACTTCTAGATTGAATTCTAAATTGTTGTTGCCGTTGTTTTGGGGCCATACCCGACAACACTCAGGCTGTGACTCCTGCTCTGTGCTCAGGAACTATTCCTGGTCGTGCTTAAAGAGATCATATGGGATGCCGGAGATAGAACCTAGGTCACCCTCATGCAAGGCTTGTGCCCTACCCATTGTGCCAGCCCCCTGAATTCTAAATTTCAGATAAAAATTTTATTTTAGAGAAAACAAAATCTTGAGTTTTAGCTAAAATCTAGATTTAGTGAAGCTTTTAGATGACATTCTTAAGATTCTTAAATATTCAGGGAATTATCAGTAAGCTTTTATTACTTTCTGGCTTTTAGTTTCTACCTCTTTGTTTTTAGTGCGGAGAGGGGATCACACCCGGCAATGCTCAAGGCTTACTTGGCTTGGGTTTGGGGAGGGGGGGAGTTGTCACATGTGGTGTCAAGGACCAGTTGTGTGTGCTAAATCAAAGGTACCAATTATTTTGTACCTTATATATCATGTGACGGACACATTTTGCACAGGTCAGTTATGTGCCAAATAAGTACCCTACAACTGTTGTTCTATGTGCTATTCCTTTGGGCTTCTTTTTGTATGTTTCGTTGTATATTAGGAGTAATCATTGACTTTTTTGTTTATTTTTGGGTCACACCTGGAAATGCTTGGGGCTACTCTTAGTTGGTCATGGATTGGTTCTGGGAATCAAACCCAGACTTCCTGCATGCAAAGCAGGTACTCAGTCCATTTCAATGTACTTCTGGCCCTTCACCTGTTACTTTACTTGAAGAGCTAAGGTATAAATACACACACCCTGTCTCTGAGAGTTATGATGAGGATCAAAGGTCTGAAAGTGAAAATGGCTATACAAATGTCAGTTGTTATTTTATCAGAATGTAGAAAAGTGGTTAAATTCAAGAATAACTCTAATAAAGGATTATGCTTGGTATGCCTTTTATGACTTGTAAGGTTTTGGGGGAAGAACTAAATTGAATTGGTAAGGGCAGCAAAAGAGACAGTATAACAGGTAAGGTGTCTCGAACATGGCCGTCTGGGGTTCAATTCCTAGCATCCTGTAGGGTTCACTGAGCCTGCCAGCAGTGATTCCTGAGCACAGTGTATTGTGGTCCCAAAACAAAATTGAATTGCTAATAGTGTAAATATATCATGTGAAGGAGAAAGAGGCGAAATAATAGGTACCTTTGATTTAGCACACACAACTGGTCTATACAGCACTCATCTGCAGTATATAGAGAAACGAAAAGGGAAATGACAGTATGGAATGACAAATCCTTGGACTTGGATTACAAAACTGAGATTACCAAGAGGGAAAAATCTAGGGGAGACTAAAAAGGAGAGCTCCAAGTAACATAAGGAGAATAGTGGAGAATCTTTGGTATTTTGGTGGTAGTGAGAGGTGCAGTAATTTGTATATCAAAACCAAAAATACTATGATAACCATAAATTTTAAATTTTAATCACTGTCATTGTCCTCCCATTGTTTATCGATTTTCTTGAGTGAGCCCAGTAATGTCTCCATTGTGAGACTTGTTAATGTGTGCGTGTGTGTGTGTGTGTGTGTGTGTGTGTGTGTGTGTGTGTGTTTCTTTTTGGGTCACACCCAGCGATGCACAGGGATTACTCCTGGTTCATGCACTCAGGAATTACTCCTGGTGGTGCTCGGGGGACCATATGGGATGCTGGGAATTGAACCTAGGTTGGCTGTGTATGAGGCAAATGCCCTACTCACTGTGCTATTGCTCTAGCCCCTAATGTGTTTTTGTGGTACATCAAATATGTCATGGGTAGCTTGCCAGGCTTTGCCTTGCAGGCGAGATGCCTTTGGTAGCTTGCCGGGCTCTCCGAGAGGGGTGGAGAAATTGAACCTGGGTCGAACGATTGACCATGTGCAAGGCAAACGCCCTACCTGCTGTGCTATCACTCCAGACCAAATTTTAATAAAAATTAAAAAATTTTTACTACTTTTTAATAAGACCGAACTCTAGAAGAATAACATACTGGAAAGTGTTAGGAAAAATGAAAAACCAGGAGCTCAGTTTGAGAAATTAAACAAGAAGTACTTACTAACCATACAGAAGAAAAAGTCCAATTGGATGCTGAATATGATTAGACTTTTAAGTTTTAGGTAGAAGTCAGTGTTGGAAGCATAAATTTGGTAATACTGGAATGTTCAGTGTACTTACAATGCTTTGATCATATCAAATCTTAGTACCACCACGTAAGAACTGTGATAGCAAACAAAACATTCACATCACACAGAAGTCAAAAAACTCTGAAAGGAAACTAGGCCAAGGAGATAACTCAAATGCTCAGCATGGTTTATATGTGCAATGTCCGAGTTTGATCCTAGCATTCATGCCCGGTGCGGTATAGTCTTGAGGGCGCCCTGAGAACCACCAGCCCAAGTAAGGCTAAGCTGGAGTAGCTCTGGGCCCTGTCAGCTATGTCCCAATTAAAAAAAAAAAGGGCAGAAAACTCGCCTTGTTTGTCACCAACCAGGTTCAATCCCTGACGCCCAATATGGTCTCCTGAGCTCTTACAGGAATGAGCCCTGAGTACAGAGCCAGGAGTAAGTCCTAAGCACCACCAGCAGTGATTCAAAAAAATCCAAAACCGGAAGCCTTAAGCATAAGAGAAAGAACACATGGAGAGTGCGGGATCCCGGAGGAAAAAAAAAAAAGAAAAAACAGGTTCCAAAAAGAGCCAAGTTCACCCGCAAGTTCCAGATGGAGTAGGCGCCGCATCTCGCCTCCCCCAGATGGAACCCCGGTGACCAGAAGCCTCTACAAACACAGCTCGAGTATGCGGGAATGAGGACTTTTTCTCAAATCTGCCGAACTACACCTCCCAGGTAACCTCTGATTCCGGAAGTCATGCCCACAGCCCGCCCCCCAGCGCCATCTTTGAAGCCTTAAGCATAAGAGAAAGAACACATGGAGAGTGCGGGATCCCGGAGGAAAAAAAAAAAGAAAAAACAGGTTCCAAAAAGAGCCAAGTTCACCCGCAAGTTCCAGATGGAGTAGGCGCCGCATCTCGCCTCCCCCAGATGGAACCCCGGTGACCAGAAGCCTCTACAAACACAGCTCGAGTATGCGGGAACGAGGACTTTTTCTCAAAACCGCGCGGCCGCTTACGCGGCCGCGCGACATCTCTCTATATACAAAGTGATCAATGAGAAGTAAACCACCCAATCTTTCTCCCTGAAAGTCAGAGTTAAGTTTGGAGCACGGCCACAGCCCCAGAAACACAAGGACTTAATGCAGAACCCAGCAGCTTAGAGCAGAAAAGTGAAAGGACTATGCGTTAATCCAGGCCATCAAGTCTGCCGGAGGGGAAAGGGTGTTGCCCCATTCGCCCTCTCTTCTCTGGAAAGAAGGATGGCGGCCGCATGGGAGCCTTGTGGACAGCAGGTATGAGCCGGGGGTGTGGGGGCGACTAAAACCTCATGGGAAGGGGGGCGTTCCGGTCCGTCCTTCACGCCCTACCGAGGTCACCAGTTGCCCCCCACGAGCGGCTCTCCAGCACGGCCACAGCCCCAGAAGCACAAGGGCTTAATGCAGAACCCAGCAGCTTGGAGCAGAAAAGTGAAAGGACTATGCGTTAATCCAGGCAATCATTTCTGCCCAGAGGGGAAAGGGTGTTGCTCCCTTCCGCCCTCCTCCCTCTGGAAAGAAAGATGGCGGCCACATGGGAGCCTTGTGGACAGCAGGTATGAGCCGGGGGTGTGGGGGCGACTAAAACCTCATGGGAAGGGGGGCGTTCCGGTCCGTCCTTCACGCCCTACCGAGGTCACCAGTCACCCCCCACGAGCGGCTCTCCAGCACAGCCACGGCCCCAGAAGCACAAGGACTTAATGCAGAACCCAGCAGCTTGGAGCAGAAAAGTGAACGGACTATGCATTGACCCAGGCCATCAAGTCTGCCGGAGGGGAAAGGGTGTTGCCCCATTCGCCCTCTCCTCTCTGGAAAGAAAGATGGCGGCCACATGGGAGCCTTGTGGACAGCAGGTATGAGCCGGGGGTGTGGGGGCGACTAAAACCTCATGGGAAGGGGGGCGTTCCGGTCCGTCCTTCACGCCCTACCGAGGTCACCAGTTGCCCCCCACGAGCGGCTCTCCAGCACGGCCACAGCCCCAGAAGCACAAGGGCTTAATGCAGAACCCAGCAGCTTGGAGCAGAAAAGTGAAAGGACTATGCGTTAATCCAGGCAATCATTTCTGCCCAGAGGGGAAAGGGTGTTGCTCCCTTCCGCCCTCCTCCCTCTGGAAAGAAAGACGGCGGCCACATGGGAGCCTTGTGGACAGCAGGTATGAGCCGGGGGTGTGGGGGCGACTAAAACTTCATGGGAAGGGGGGCGTTCCGGTCCGTCCTTCACGCCCTACCGAGGTCACCAGTTGCCCCCCACGAGCGGCTCTCCAGCACAGCCACGGCCCCAGAAGCACAAGGACTTAATGCAGAACCCAGCAGCTTGGAGCAGAAAAGTGAACGGACTATGCATTGATCCAGGCCATCAAGTCTGCCGGAGGGGAAAGGGTGTTGCCCCATTCGCCCTCTCCTCTCTGGAAAGAAAGATGGCAGCCACATGGGAGCCTTGTGGACAGCAGGTATGAGCCGGGAGTGTGGGGGCGACTAAAACCTCATGGGTCGGGGGGCGTTCCGGTCCGTCCTTCACGCCCTACCGAGGTCACCAGTTGCCCCCCACGAGCGGCTCTCCAGCACGGCCATGGCCCCAGAAGCACAAGGACTTAATGCAGAACCCAGCAGCTTGGAGCAGAAAAGTGAATGGACTATGCGTTGATCCAGCCCATCAAGTCTGCCGGAGGGGAAAGGGTGTTGCCCCATTCGCCCTCTCCTCTCTGGAAAGAAAGATGGCGGCCACATGGGAGCCTTGTGGACAGCAGGTATGAGCCGGGAGTGTGGGGGCGACTAAAACCTCATGGGAAGGGGGGCGTTTCGCTCCGCCCTTCACGCCCTACCGAGGCCACCAGTTGCCCCCCACGAGCGGCTCTCCAGCACGGCCACGACTCCAGAACACAGAAACCAATTTCTTAACTATCTGACTTTCAGTAGAAATACTTCCAGGGTCAATAAGTAAAATAGCAGAAATCCAAAACCAACATTTAATTCTTGAACCCAGCTGGAGAAAGCAAATCACTTCACAATGCTTTTTCAGCATGTCTGATTTGGGGGGGGGGGGGTAAACTCTAAATAATAGTGGTGAATCTTTTATTGAAACAATCTAATCAAAGCGGATAGAGTGTTAACTAGAATTCATCTGCCTCACGAGCGCATAGGGACGGGGAGGGGTGGGGGGTGGGGTTTTATTGGGGTTCTTCGTGGGAAAAAATAAGTATTGGTAAAGGGAAATGTGTTTGATATTTGCATGACTGAGACATAAACCTGAAAGCTTTGTAACCTTTCCCACAGTGATTCAATAAATAAATAAAAAAAAAAAAAAAAAAAAAAATCCAAAACCATCATCACCACAACAAAATGGAAAAAACAAACAAAACCCACCAAAATTAAGGAAACATTATTAAGACATCTATTTTTCTGTGGCTCTCTTGAAGGCAATATGTAGCACTTTAAAACATAGTCTCTCAGATATATATGAACACATGCAAATACTTTATATACTTTCAACAAAATTCAATAAAAATATAATATAGACTTTACTGCATATTCTTTTTTCTACACTCTTTCTCCATTTAACAGTAAAATTTAAGTATGGTTGGCATCTAAAACCACAGTCCCATAATAGGTGGCTGTCCCTAAGGAGAAAATGTAAAATGAGAAAAAAGAAATTTTGCTAAAATGAATCCAATTTGTTTATTATTATTAGTGTAACCCATAAAGTTTTTGATATAAAGAACATAAGAAAAGCAGAAACTACAACATGGCAAAAGATGACTGGAGAGTGCTAAAATTTCCTGCAGATCCTATTTTAGAAAACAAAAATCTACAATTAGTAAAGCTTTTATTCTTCCCTCAAGTAAATCAATCATGATAACAACAACAACAACAACACGCTGAGAAATGTCTAAAGCATACTCACACAGCTCTGGGTTCAGAAAAGACATCAGTATGAATGTGCATCATTAGGTCACCACCAGCAGCATATTCCATAACAAAGCAAACATGCTCTTTGGTTTGGAAACATGCAAAAAGGTTCACCAAAAAGGGATGCCTTACACTATTCACAGTTTCAAAAATCCTTTTTTCACACATCAGGCTATAAGAGAAAACATTTAATTTTTCATAATTATTGTAACTTCAAAACCACAAAGTATGTCTTAGTTTTTCTACTAACACTTTAACAATTTGGTTTGATATAAACATGTACATCTATGTCTTGAACTGAAATATATTAATGTGGCATAAAGTAGTACATACAGTATCAAAATGTAAACTATGTTCTAAGTCAAGGATATTTAAAAATATATTGAAGAACAAAATATATGGTCAGATTTACAAATAATTATAGAGTTTACATAGATAGTACCATAATATGACAAATATAAATCTACCTTAGAGATGATAAAAAAGGCTTAAGTAGCTAAGTAGGGGTGAACTGTAAAAATTTATCATGAACTGATCAAAGAGTTTAGCAATGTAAAACATAATTTTAAGAATATGAATCTTGCTACAAATTATAAATTACAGTTTTAAAATGTTCCATAATATATTTAGTTGAGGTAAAGTTATACTGCATAAAATTTTAGTGTAGACGGGAAAGAAGCTACATTAAGAGTTCTACAACATGTTTCTAAGGAAGCTTCTTAATATAATGTAAGGTACTTTAAAAATCCTACAGTAATTACTGAGTTTCTTCTATAAAACATTACAAACTGCTACAAAAAAAAGTGGCCAAAATGATTTGGAACATTAATTTTGACAAAATTAGCAAAATTACAATACTCTTTCTTTCCCTGAAAATAACTGAAAATTAACCTCACTTAAAACTAAAAGTAGAAGAAAAACAGTTCAAATAAAACTGGGATTATTGAGGCTGAAGCAACAGCACAGTGGGTAGGGCATTTGCCTTGCATGCGGCCGACCCAGGCTCGATTCCCAGCATCCCATATGGTTCCCTGAGCATTGCCAGGAGTAATTCCTGAGTGCATGAGCCAGGAGTGACCCCCGTGCATCTCCGGGTGTGACCCCAAAACCAAAAAAAAAAAAAGAAAAAAAAAAGAAAAAACCCTGGGATTTATTTTCTAGCACCTAATCAAAATAAAGATATCTATATATTTTATTTACATTTAGATTATAAAGGCCCTCCCGTTGATTATCAATTTGCTCGAGCAGGCCCAGTAACGTCTCCATTGGAGACTTTGTTGTTACTGTGTCTGGCATATCGAATACGTCACGGGGAGCTTGCCAGGCTCTTTGAGGAGAGAACAAAAATAGACACTAATGCTTAAAAGCATTAATAAAATTAAATTCCGAAATTAGAAAACTTAAAGAGTTTTGTTAGTTTTTAAAATGCCAAACTCAAATCCTGGTGTTAAAGGTAGACAATCTCATTTTTCTTTTCTTTTGGGTTCTTTAAAAAGGAGTTAACTTCAAAACTGTAATCGTAATTTTTTTGTTTGTTTTTGTTTTTTTGGGCCACACCCACCTGTGTCCAGGGCTTACTTCTGGCTCTGTGCTCAGAAGTCACTCCTGGTGGTGCTCAGGGGACCATATGGAATGCCAGGGATCGAAACCAGGTCTGCTGCATGCAAGGCAAGCAAGGCAACCATGATCCTATCTCTCCAGTCCCAGAAAATGTAGTTTTAAAGATAAAATAGTTGGCTACCCATATTACATTGTGGTAATTTAGGAACAAAAAAATTCTGAAAATAAGAATATAGATGTTGTGGAGAAGGAGCATGAATTCTATTCTATTTATTTTTTGCTCTTTGGGTCACACCCGGCGATGCACAGGAGTTACTCTTGGTTCAAGCATTCAGAAATTACTACTGATAGTGCAGCGGGGACCATATGGGATGCTGGGAATCGAACCTGCAAACGCCCTACCCGCTGTGCTATTGCTCCAGACCCCAAGCACAAATTTTAAATGCTAAACCAACATGAAATTTTTTAGATAAAGTGAAACTTGTTTTTTTTTTTTTTTTTTTTGTGCAGGTGGAGGGGGTAGTGTCACACCAAGCTATGCTCAAGATCTGCACTCAGGAATTACTCCTGATGTGCTTGGGGACCTTATGGGATGCAGGGGACTGAACCAAGGTCTGTCATATGCAAGGTAAGCGCCCTACCCTCTTTACTATTGATCTAGCACTTCAGTGAAACTCTTAAGATCTATCCTAAAACAGGAACTTCCTGTTTAAGGAAAAAAGACAATTCAGAATATCCTTTACAACACTTAATATAATTCATTAAGGCAAGTATTGACATAAAACATATTTAAAAGCTGTGGATTAGACTAGGCTCAAAGATGTTTACTGAATTGTCTTTGGGTTAAATCTTTAACTAAAAAGAAGCAATCAGGACTAGAGAAGACAGACTTCCCACTCCTAGTCCTAGGTTTTTTCACCCTACAATCCTGTTCTCCACTAACTAATGATTTATGGAAATTAATACTTCTAAATATCATACAGAAGCCTCTGATTATATAATTTTCTTGTCTAAACATTTTATCAAGACAGTCTTTTCAAAGTTATTTTTTCTTTTTTCTGTGATTCTGGGCCAATACCCAGCTGCACTCAGGGGTTACCCCCACTCAGTGCTCAGGGATCACTCCTGATGGTGCTGAGATGAGGATGGAGGGGGACATGCAAAGCATGTACACTACTCTTTTGAGCCATCTCTTTGGGCCTCAAAGTATATATTCTAATCTCATTCAAATATTATTCCTAAAGTCCTTGCCTCTCACCTCCCTCCCCACTGCAACTTATTTTGGGGCTACATCTGGCAGTGCTCAGGACTTATTCTCTTACTCAGGGGGAACTCGAGGCGGTGCTCAGGAGACCATATGGGCTGCTCTGGATTAAACCCCAGTTGGTGCGGCCAGATGGAATGGGGGGTGGGGGGTGGAACCGGCATGTCCTTCTTGCTCTGCCGAGACCTCAAGTTGACCCCCATGAACAGCTATCCGGCACGGCCATGGCCCCAGAGGCACACAAAACAATTTCGGAACTATTCGGCTTTTGGCAGAAATCCCTCCAGATTTAATTAGTAAAATATGAGAAATCCAAAATTGTGCGAGTGCAGTAGTGGCCATGCGACATCATATGGTCTTCATAACCAGTAATAGAAAACAAATTATTTCATGATACCTTTTCAGCAGGTTTGACTGTTGGGGGAAAATTCCAAATAACAATGGTACATCTTTTGTCGAAATAATTAATGCAATCAAAGTAGAGAGAGAGAGAGAGTTAAGTGGAAATCATCTGCCTCACAGGCACGGGGAGGGATGGCATGGGAGGTGTATTGGGGGTTTTGGTGGTGGAAAATACGCACGGGTGAAGGGATGGGTGTTTGATCATTGTATGACTGAGACTTAAACCTGAAAGCTTTGTAACTGCTCTCATGGTGATTCAATAAAATAAATAAACAAACAAACAAACCCCAGTTGGTTTCTTGCAAGGAAAGTGTTCTAACTGCTGTATAATCTCACCAGTCCCTTGAGGGGCATTTTAAAAAAGCCCAGTATGTGAGCCAGTTCAATAGATTATCTGTAAATGACAGTTTATTATTTCCATTAGATGAAATGGAACATAGACTCATACAACCACTGACAGGAAAAAACAAAGTTACTAGTCCACATAAATACTTTCAACACCTTAAAGTGAAAAAAAAAATTAAGGACTTCACTATCTTTCCCTATTTGCTAGTAAAATGTCGTAAGAGGGGAGATACAGTTTCTTCATAAATTACTATAAAGACAAAGTTTTGCCATTGCAATAGACACATTAATTTTATATTAACTTCTACCTTTTAAAAAACTGACCTGTCTACTTCATCCCGAGCTACAATATCTCCTTTCTTTAAGGCTTTGATAGCAAACATCTCATTTGTATGTTTATATTCAGCTAAAAGCACCTGAAATGAGATTAAAATAATTATTTCCTATCTGAGTTATTAGTTTCATAAATATTATACAAAAATGTAAAATAGTACCTTTCCAAAATGTCCTCTACCCAAGACAGCACAACATCTGAAGTCTTGTAGATTAAACTGAAACATCTGTTGAGACCTGAATTCAGTAATTTCAATTAAAAATATGCAAAAGTATGGAACCTGACATAGAACAGTCAATCTATGTACATATTCTTTACCTTCTCTCCTCAAGTTCTCGAATTTGAGGATATTTTAGGTTTGACTGAGGAATATCAGACTCATATTCAGACTGGGATTTTGGACGTCTACTATTTCTGTCATTCTCAATATCAAAAACAGTTTCTAAATCCTGTAAAATAGTAAATACTTATTATTAATTTTATATTACACTTAGCTATAATATATTGAAAAATCTAACACATTTTCAAAGGCCAGAGCGATAGTACAGCAGGTATGATACTTGCCTTGTGCAAGGCTAAACTGGTTAGATCCCTGAGCACTACCAGGAGTGATCTTTGAGCACAGAGACAGAAGTAAACCCTGAGCATAGTTGGGTGTGGCCCCTAAACAAATAAACACCTTGACTTTCAGCTTACTCCTGTTTCTGCACTCATGGATCACTTTTGGCAAGCTAGGGGAGTCATAGGAGTTGCTGGGGATCAAACTCAGGTCAGCTGCATGCAAGGCAAGTGTTCACCTGCTTTACTATTGCTCTGGCCCCTTATGCAGAGACAATATTAACCTAGTTAGAAAATGAAGAATGTTTTAAACATTCACCTAGTATCAACCATGCTCCTTCTAGCTTAAGCAGACTACTCCATCTCATCTGGTTCATGAGCATGAGAGTCTAGTTAATGACAAAGGCATGCTAACAGTAAGTAGTTGGTCCTCTCCTGTTAACTTGCTCTATAATATCTGAGTAAAGTAAGATTTATTCTAAGAAACACAAATACACAGTTCACATAAATAATTTCTAATAAACTAAAATGTCCATCTCATTTATTATAATTCTTTCAGTGGTAATTCATTTGGTGAATAGGGATGACATAAGATTTCAAATGCCTTACCTGCCCCGGCAAATCCAAGCCTCTCAATTCAGTAGATTCATCTATTTCTCCAAGAGAAGAATCACGTGGAGGAGCAGGAGGAGGTTCAGGTTCAAGATCAAAATCTAATTTGGTTACTGTAGAATCACTTATAGAAGATAAATTCACAAAATAGGTAATTAAAAGTATATAAATGGTTTTAAAACAGAAATAATTTTGTGACTTGTGAGTAGACAGAATACTAATTTAAGAATATGATATGCAAAAAAAAAAGACTTTTAATGGGCCAACTGTAATCAATTTGTATGAATGTCACAATAACTTTTAAAAAAGCAAAAATAAAAAATCTAAAATACCTTGCTGGAGGTGCTAGCTCAGGGATGCGTACATCAACGACTGGCACAGTAGCAGGCACAGGAGTTTGAGGGCTGAATGTGCCAGAATGATTTACTGTAGGAATAGCTCTTCTCACTAACCTCCCCCAAGTGGCAATATTAATATTCATTTGAGGAGCTCTGAGAAATGTTTTGCCTGTGGTTGTAAATAAAGAAAACAGAACAAGAAATTTTTTATATCATAAAATGCCATAATTAAAAAATTTGTTTAAAAAACATTCATATTCATCAGTTTTTAATTTATGAATATAAGTAAAACTTGTCAGTTAAAAATAGTTTTAATAACAATTTAAGACTAGAGCAAAGAGCAAAAGGAAGTTTTGAAAATAAAACAGGAATTTGTTTACTTATATATAGCAAAGATGGGTGGTTAAGGCTTAAAAATTCATACTTTTTATAGACTAATACCTATAAAAGAACCAATAAGATGTGATTTCTTTATAATTACCTTGTTGTTTTGAGAAAATTTTCTTTTGTCTTTGGAGTTTTGGTCTTCTTTCAATAACTGGATTGAAAAAGGTAACCTACAAAGAAGATTCAAGTTAGCAGTATTACAGCACTGAATTTATGCCTCACTAAACTTTAAGGCTGTGAAATCTTATATAAATACTGAGGAAAGTTTAGTTTAATATTCTCATTTTCTGGATAAGAAACAGACTTCAAGAAGATAAATGATTTTTCTTTAGGTAATATACCTATACTACTTCAGTGTTGAGCTAAGAATTCAAGTTGTACATTATTTAGTGTAAGACTTTCTTCTCTATTATATGGCTTAAAAACACAAATTCAATAGTAGTTATTCACATTTAATAATACATCTTTATTACCTCTGCAAATAAAGTACCCTGTGGTTCCAAATAGAGACACATGCCATGCCGTTGGTTGTCTAAGAAATCTTCTAACCTCAGAAATTTTACAGCACACAGAGATCGCCAATCACGCCAATAAACTGAAATTTCCAGTTCACGTGACTAATTAAAAAAAAACAACAAAAACAAAAACAGAGAAGACATCATTGGACACACATTTAAATGTAACAAAAAATATAAAATACAAATACAAAAAAACAGATAACACATACAATGGTGACACTTTTTTTTTTTTGGTCACACTATTTTAAAGAACAATTTGTACTGATTCTCGATGATATGTCAACAAATTTATACATCTGAACTCAAAGGAAGAAATTTATATTCTGATGGCCTTAAACTAAGATATTCCGTATATGTACAAGAAGACATAACTGGGAACAACCATTCATTCTGGGGGATGAAAGATCCCCAGATACACTGCCCATTTTATAATTTTAATCTTTCTATTTTTTTTCATTCCACTCGGTATCATTTGCTGCTCTATTGGTAAAAGACCTTTTATTTCTTTGATCCAAAGTTAAGCCAGAGGAGGATATGCAGATACCATTTAATCTGCACTTACCGTGTGTTGCACATTGTGCTAAAATCTTTTAAGAACATTAGATCACTCAATCTTCAAAAGAATATGACCATCTGATAATAGGACTGGTTATCGCAGTGTAGGTAGAAAGAAAATGGGAAACTCATAATAAACCTTACACAGAAAGATGATCATTTATTAACAACATTAAAAAAAAAACTAGCTAAAACTGGCATGTCCAAAACCAGGAATATTTATACCGCTCATAAGCAGAGAGGGGACTACTCTGTGATGACTAAAAATAATGGTTATATGGAAAAAAAAATATTGGGGGAATCCAGCAGTGCATGGAGCTCATTCCTGGTTCTGTATCTGGGATCACTCTTGGCTGGCTTGGGGACTATATGGGGTCCAGGGAACTGAACCTGGGTTGGCCAAGTACAAGGCAAGCACCTTACTCACCATCTCTTCAGCCCCATACTTGAAGTCTTAACAATGAATTTTTTATATTTATAGAACACAGTTTATAGTAGGGATCAAGCCATAAACTGACTTCGATGTATAAATTAGAATTCATGCACACTTTAATTATAAAGCAACTGACTTTTTTTTCTCTCCCTCAGGACTGTGTACACCATTTACAAAAGGAGATAAATGATTTTCCTCTGAGGTTCAGTGAAGTAACTATTTCTTTTATATAACAACTTTTAATTTATGAATTTATGCATCATATTATGTAAGCTCCAAGTATAATAATAAAAAATTATTCTGACTTTAAAAACTAGTTGGTACAAATGAATATAGGAAAACACTTATAGAAAGAGAATATAAAAATGGAAGTGTTTGTAGAGTGCAATTATTTTAAAATAAATGAATGGCATATAGAAGAAGTAGATATACGGCTATAATATACTACTGATGCTCAAAGTTTCAGTAATTTTGGAAAGTCACTTTGGAAATAAATAGAATGAATAAACTAGACACTAGTAATTTATTTTATTTTTTTTTGCTTTTTTGGGAACACACCCAGTGATGCACACGGGTTACTCCTGGCTCTGCACTCAGAAATTACTCCTAGCAGTGCTCAGGGGACGATATGGGATGCTGGGAATCAGCATCCTGAGGTTATATTCAAGGCTCTTTAGGAGAATGAGACCCAGCATTGTTACTGGTATTTGGCATATTGGGTACGCCACAGGGAGTTTGCCAGACTCTGCCATGTGGGCAGGCTACATTAGGTAGCCTGCCAGTTTGTCAAAGTAGGAATGAGATGTTATAATAAGATGTCGCGCGGCCGCAAATGCGGCCGTGCGGTTCCGGGAGCTGGTTTTTATAGTCTCAGAGTCTTGGCCGCTGATGGGATTACACGGCACCAGTGGGCCAGTTGGTGGGTGTGACCCCCGCCTACTGGAATTTGGAGGATCTGGGTGGAGGATGCTCGACTCCAATCCGAGTAGGCTTGGAGATCTCGGCCCCGGAACCCATGTGGCTTTGTCCCTCTGCCGGTACCTTCAGGTGTGCGGAGAGTGGTCTCAGCATGGTGGTGGCTGGTCCTGGAGGTCTTTGGCTGCCGGGGCCCTGGCCAGGGCGGGGAGGAAAGCTCAACCCGCTCCCCTCCAAGGGGCCCCGGTGAGGAATAGCCAGGCGCGGGGGCAGAAGACTGCACTCTTCTCCTCCGGGAGCTGGTTTTTATAGTCTCAGAGTCTTGGCCGTTGATGGGATTACACGGCGCCAGGGGGGCAGTTGGTGGGTGTGACCTCCTGCCCCCACGCCTCGCTATTCCTCGCCGGGGCCCCTTGGAGGGGAGCGGGTTGAGCTTTCCTCCCTGCCCTGGCCAGGGCTCCGGCAGCCGAAGACCTCCAGGACCAGCCACCACCATGCTGAGACCACTCTTCGCACACCTGAAGGTACCGGCAGAGGGACAAAGCCACGTGGGTTCCGGGGCCGAGATCTCCAAGCCTACTCGGATTGGAGTCGAGCATCCTCCACCCAGATCCTTAAACGACATAATTTTAAACTAAAGAGAGGTGGGCATTTCCTCACTCTCTTCCTCCTTAGTCTTAAAGAGGACTTGTTATGCATGGGTCAGGAAAATGGGCCTAGAAACTGGGGATGGAATACCACTGGCCTATGTCACAAAGCCTGAGGCTGGTCTTTCTGGAAGTTATTTCTCATTAACCCTGTATTATAACTCCAATCCTACTTTTACCCCTAACATACAGTGTAACTGGAAAAGTATAGTGAGATAACAATCTGAAAAATCAAGGTACTTCTCTGAACACTATAAAATTCTATTTCTTAATAAAAATAAAAAATAAACTAATAAAAGAATTAATAAAAATTAAACTGCAGGGGCCAGAGAAATAGTGTAGCAGTAAAGCACTTGCCTCATCTGCAGTTGACGTAGGTTCAATCCCAAACACCACAAATGGTTCCCTGAGCACTACTAGGAGAAAGCCCTGAGCACTGTTGGGTGTTAACCCCAAAACCAAAAGAATAAATGAACTTCAAGTGTGACTGCTCATTTGCTGGCAATTTTCCAGACGAAGCACAATCATTATGAAAGATAAGACAAAGCCTGTAAGTAATACCAACCCTGAAAGAGAAATATAGTTCTACGTGAACTAAAAACCACAATCCAAATAACTGAGCAGTATCATCTGTGCCAGGTACTACTGGTTGTCCTGGTCCACTGATCGTACCTGTGTTTAATTTTGCCTTTTATAAACTTGAACCTTGGAATCAAGAGAAAACTCTGATAGACTTAAGAAATCTCTATGGTTGCTCTGGAATAACTTAAAGTTAGGGTGAAAGCAAATAAGACATCTAATTAGTCGCATGGAGGGAGTAGGGGCCAAAAGAATAATAAATTAAAACAGACTGACCAAAACATCAACAAACAAAGCCTAATCTACATTCAGCATAAAAAAAAAATAGAAGCACTAAGAGAGCTGAGGTAGCCAAACTGTGAAACTTGATGGCAATGGAAGATATTTTCATTTTTTCAAGGAAAACACAAACACATCTGTGAGATAAAATAAGAGATACTTCCTTGGGACCTTTTGACACAGCGTGAGAGCACAGTTGCCTTACTTGTGAGCTTGAGGACATGGATTCAACCCAGGGCACTGCCTCACATGCAGAGCAGGGTGCTGGCAACACTGCTGTTTGAGACTGCAGAGACTCTCACTGCAGCAGAAACTGCACAATCACTGCTGTACTGCAGGGAAGGGTCTACAAGCACCAAAACAGAAGTCTCTGACCCCAGGTAAGACCCACAACCAAGCATGGCACACAAAGGGGCAGTCCACAGTGAGCTCCCACAACTAAGGGTGTGTGAGCCCTAGTGAGCAAGGAAAACAAAGGAGACTGTAAATTCATCATAATACCCTTTAGTGACATTTTATCAATTCTAGGCTGGGTTTTCAATTATTAAAAAAAAAAAAAAGAAAAGAAGAGAAAAGAAAAGAAAAAAGCAACTCCACGGGAAAGGTAAAATTAAATGTCCAACTACCACACAAAGACTGACTAAATCCACACTGTGTTTTTCTTTTGAGTTTTTAGTTATGGGTCACTGTCACTGTCACCCTGTTGTTCATTGATTTGCTCGAGCAGGTGCCAGTAACGTCTTCACTAGTCGCAGCCCTGAAATTTTATTTATTTGTTTTTGTTTTTTGGGTCACACCCGGTGATGTTCAGGGGTTGTTACTCCTGGCTCTGCACTCAGGAATTACTCCTGGCGGTGCTTGGGGGACCATATGGGATTCTGGGAATCGAACCTGGGTTTGTTGCATGCAAGGCAAACGCCTTACCCACTGGGTTATCGCTCCAGCCCCAGCCCTGAGATTTTAGCAGCCTCTCCTAACTCGTCCTTCCCAATGGTGCCGTACTGGTGGCTCTTTCAAGGTCAGGAGAATGTTACTGTTTTTGGCATTATCCACTATGCCACTGAGAGCTTGCTAGGCTCTCTCATGTGGGCGGGATACTCTCAATAGCTTGCTGGGCTCTTTGAGAGGGATAAAGAATGGATATAAGAGAATTAGAAGCAAGTATGTTAAAACCAAACATATGTGTGCTGCTTTAGGTACATCCATCAGTGGCCTAGACTATAAGAAGTTGTGCGGCCATGAGTGCGGCGGCGCACTTCCAGGAGCTTTGTTTTATAGTCTGTGGATTTGGGGATTATATGGCTATGGGTAGTTTAAATAAAACCAAAAACCTCAGAGCCCTCCTCTGGAAACTGAATTTCAGTAAACAGAAAGCAACCCCCAAATGCATCCAAAGTTACTATCAATCCCCTTAGAATCTTCCAGTGCCCCCTGGGGGCAGCATCAGCATCACACTCTGAGAAACTCTCCAAAGATAATTTGGGGACTAGTACTTTCAAACAGCAGGTTTCAGAGTAATCATAAATTCTGGAAAATCCTAAGCCATTATTGCTTTAGACTGGGTCTCTGCCCAATCTCTTATTTCCTTGTTTTAGACCTCCACTTAATATGTTAATTATGCTCATTTTAATTCTTCTCATTCCTGTTTTTCTCTTAGCCTCTCTCCTATTTGTCATCCTTTTGTCTGTGTT